TTGAACCACCAGCCTTCTAGTTAGCAGTCAAGTACCTTAGGCACTATGCTATCAGAGCTCCTAGTAGACTGAATAGGGTCCCAAAAAATATATGTTCATGTCCTCATCCCTAGAACCTATGAATATCGCCTTATTTGGAAAAAAGATCTTTGTGAAGCAGTTAAATTAAGGATCTTGAGATCAACTAAAGATCATTCTGGATTATCTGGGTGAACCTGAAATCCAGTGACAAATGTCACTAGAGAAGCAGAGACATTTTATACAGACACACAGAAGAGAAGGTGATTTGAAGATGGAGGCAGAGATTAGGGTGATGTGGCCACAGCCAGAGAATGTCTGCAGCCATCAGAAGCTGCAAGAGGCAAGAAATGCCAGAGTTTGGACTTCCGGCCTCCAAAACTGTGAGAGAATAAATTTCTGTTGCTTTAAGCCATCAAATTGTTATAGCAGCCTAATACAGGCCTCCACTCAGAAATGAAATGAAGTTTCACTGGGTTTTCCTGCTGTCTTCCCATGCCTTCCTGGATGGGCTAGGTGGCCTCAGACCCAGGCTGGGACTGTGAGCCTACTCCCCTGTTTCCCTTTTCCTATCTGTCCCTCTAAAAAACAAACAAACAAAAAAAAATGCAAAACAATTTGCCAGTTCAACAATTGTGACATCTGTCATTCTGTGACATTTATTACCTTCTTCATGTTGAGCAACCATTATCACTATCCTTTTCTGAATTATCCCAACACCATTAACATAAACTCAGTGTTTCCTACATAAGAACTCCCTCTTTTCCCCTCCTTCCCATCCTAATAGCTTTGGTTTCTATATATTTGTCTATTTCATGAAAGTGAGATCATACAATATTTGTCCTTTTGTAATTGACTCCTTTTACTCGCCTGTTTTCAAGGTTCATCCATGTTGTGGCATGTACCAGGACTTCATTTTTCTTTATGCCAGAGCAATATTCCGTTGTATGTATATACAACCCACTACATTTTGTTTATCTGTTCATCTATTGATGGATGTCTGTCCTTTTTTGAGGTCTACTGTCTTCTCCCCTTGGGAGGTTAGCAAGGCTTTTGAGCCCACCTCCAGGACTCTAGGTAGCAGGAGGGAGTCCTCCTGGATGCTGTAATTTAAGGACCTGACAGCCTGCCTCTGCCCCCTCCCTCTGAGTAACATATGCTGACTTTTAATGGATCTTATGACCTTCTGGTAGCATAGTGGCTAAGGCACTTGACTGCTAACCAGAAGGCTGGCGGTTCAAACCCACCAGCCACTCCTCGGAAGGAAGATGGGGCAATCTACTTCTGTAGTGATACTGCCTCAGCAACCCAAGGAGGGGTCGCTGTGAGTCAAGTCCAACTTGACGGCACATAACAACAACAACAACAACATGACCCTGTCACATACCAGGTGCTGGGCTAAGCATTTATCTTTGTGTGTGTGTATGTTTATCTTATTGATTCCTCACAGTAACTTCATGAGGCGGATGTGATTATTAACCACATTTTACAGATGAGGAAGCTGAGATGCAGGGTGGGTTAAGCAACTTGTCCAAGCTCACACACAGCTACCAAATGGGCAGAGTCAAGATCTGAACCCAAGACTGTCCGATTCCACTACTCACCACCGCCTGGTATTTCTGGCAGCAGTTGGTTCCCTGTGTTATGAACTGTTCTCCCCTAATACTGCCCCTTTCTCCTACCCCCAAGATTCTCAAAACTTCTACCCAAGTTGAGGTTTTTCTGAGTTCTCTCTGTCTCTGCCATGAATTAAATTGTGTCCTCTGGAAATACGTGTCATCCTGGCTGGATCATGATTCTCAGTGGTTTGAGAATTGTGTCATGATGTAATCACCCCCCATAATGTGATCAGCCAGTCAGTTGTAAGGAGATCAGGGTGAGATACAACACCCTTACCAATGGCATTGAAGGAATAAGTCTAAGCTGCACTAAAGGCATTGGTGAAAAACAAGGCTCCAGGAAGTGATGGAATACCAGTTGAGATTTTCCCACATTTTGCAATGCTTGAAGCACTCATATATCTATGCCAAGAAATTCTAAAGATAGCTACATG